GACTTGGTGGGCGTGGCCCAGGTGTGGTGGGCGTGGTCAGGGCTGTGTCCCACTCACTTTATCCCCATAAAACCTTAAAAAATGCCCAAAAATGGGAATTTTGAGTAATTTGAGTGGGATTTTTTGGCGTGGCCTGGTGAGGGTGTGACCCAGGCACGGTGGGCGTGGCCTGGGTGTGGTGGGCGGGGCCAGGGCAGTGTCCCATTCACTTTAACCCCATAAAACCTTAAAAAATGCCCAAAATTTTGAATTTTTGAGTCATTTCAGTGGGATTTTTTGGGCGTGGCCTGGTGAGGCTGTGGTGGGCGTGGCTTGGGTGTGGTGGGCGTGGTCAGAGCTGTGTCCCTCCCACATTAACCCCATAAAACCTTAAAAAATGCCTAAAAATTTGAATTTTGGAGTAATTTGAGTGGGATTTTGGGGCGTGGCCTGGTGAGGGCGTGGCCCAGGTGTGGTGGGCGTGGCCTGGGTGAGGTGGGCGTGGCCAAGGATATGTCCTACCCACATTAATCTCATAAATGATCAAAAAATGCCCAAAATTTGGATTTTTGAGTAATTTCAGTGGGAATTTTTGGCGTGGTCTGGTGAGGGCATGGCCCAGACGTGGTGGGCGTGGCCTGGGTGTGGTGGGCGTGGCCTGAGTCACGCCCACCCACTTTTAGCCACATTCAATCTCCACAAAACCTTTAAAAATGCCCAAAATTTCGGATTTGGAGCAATTAGAGATGGATTTTTTGGGCGTGGCCTGGTGAGGGCGTGGCCCAGACATGGTGGGCGTGGCCTGGGTGAGGTGGGCGTGGCAAAGCACAAGCCCCACCCACTCCAAACCACTTTAACCCTCATAAAACCTTAAAAAATGCCCCAAAATGGAATTTTGAGTAATTTGAGTGGGATTTTTTGGCGTGGCCTGGTGAGGCTGTGGTGGGCGTGGCCTGGGTGTGGTGGGCGTGGCCAATGAAGTGTCCCACCCACTTTATCCCCATAAAACCTTAAAAATGCCCAAAATTTTGAATTTTTGAGTAATTTCAGTGGGATTTTTTGGGCGTGGCCCGGTGAGGGCGTGGCCCAGGTGTAGTGGGCGGGGCCTGGGTGTGGTGGGCGTGGCCAGGGCTGTGTCCCACCCACTTTAACTCCATAAATGGTAAAAAATTGCCAAAAATTTGGAATTTTGGAGCAATTTGAGTGGGATTTAGTGGGCGTGGCCATGTGAGGGCAGGGCCCAGGTGTGGTGGGCGTGGCCTGGGTCTGGTGGGCGTGGCCTGAGTCATGCCCCACCCACTTTTAGCCACATTCAATCTCCATAAAACCTTAAAAAATGCCTAAAAATTTGAATTTTTGAGCAATTTCAGCGGGATTTTTTGGGCGTGGCCTGGTGGGGGCGTGGCCCAGACTTGGTGGGCGTGGCCCGGGCGCGGTGGGCGGGGCTTACCCAGCTTGAGCAGCCAGCCCTCGCGGTCGGGGTTGAAGAAGGTGTGGGTGAGGTCGTTGCCGTCGTCCTCGGGGATCTTGAAGGGCTCCGAGCGGATGCTCTCGTACAGGTTCTGGGATTTGGGGGGAATTCGGGCAAATTCGGGAAAATTCGGGGATTTGGGGGGAAATTTGGGGATTTTTGGGAATTTTTGGGGGAATTTTTGGGGGATTTTTTGGGAATTTTGGGGGATTTTAGGGGGGAATTGTGGGGAATTGAGGGGAAATTTGGGGGATTTTGGAGGGAATTTTGGGGGATTTTGGGGATTTTTTGGAATATTTGGGGAATATTTGGGGGGAAGTTTGGGGGCATTTTGGGGATTTTTTTGGGGAATTTTCGGGGAATTTTTGGGGGAATTATGGCAAATTGATGGGAAATTTGGGGGATTTTGGAGGGAATTTTGGGGATTTTGGGGGAATTATGGGGAATTGAGGGGAAATTTGGGGGAAATTTGGGGATTTTTGGAGATTTTTGGGGGATTTTGGGGAAAATTTGGGGATTTTTTGGAATTTTCGCGGATTTTTGGGGGAATTTTAGGGGGGAATTATGGGGAATTGAGGGGAAATTTGAAGGAATTTTGGGGAATTTTTTGGGGGAATTTTTTGGGGGAATTTTGGGTGGAATTAGGAGGATTTTGGGGGGGATTTTTGGGAAAATTTGGGGATTTTTTGGGATTTTCGCGGATTTTTGGGGAATTTTAGGGGGGAATATGGGGATTTTGGGGGAATTTTTGGGGGATTTTTGGGGAGATTTTGGGGGGATTTGGGGATTTTGGGGAATTTTGGGGGGAATTTTTGGGGGGAATTATGAGGAATTGAGGGGAAATTTGGAGGATTTTGGGGGGATTTTGGAGAGAATTTTGGGGGAATTTGGGGGAATTTTTGGGGGATTTTTGGGAATTTTGGGGGGAATTATGGGGAATTGAGGGGAAATTTGGGGGGAGATTTTGGGGGGGATTTTGGAGGGAATTTTGGGGATTTTTTGGAATATTCGGGGGAATTTTGGGGGAAATTTGGGGGGATTTTGGGGGATTTTTTTGGGGATTTTTGGGGGAATTTTTCGGGGGAATTATGGCGAATTGAGGGGAAATTTGGGGGGATTTTGGAGGGAATTTTGGGGGGGAATTATGGGGAATTGAGGGGAAATTTGGGGGGGATTTTTTGCTTATTTTTGAGGGAATTTTAGGGGGGAATTATGGGAATTGAGGGGAAATTTGGGGGGATTTTTTGGGGAATTTTCGGGGAATTTTTTGGGGGAATTATGGGGAAATTTGGGAATATTTTGGGAGAGATTTTGGGGGGAATTTTGTGGATTTTTTGAGGATTTTTGGGGGAATTATGAGAGATTTTAGGGGAAAATTTGGGGATTTTTTGGAATTTTTTGTGGATTTTTGGGGGAATTTTTGGGGGGAATTACAGAAGAATGTGGGGGATTTGGGGGGAAATTTGGGGGGAATTATGGGGAATTGAGGGGAGATTTGGGAATATTTGGGGGGGGGATTTTAGGGAGAATTTGGGAATTTGGGGGGATTTTTTGGGATTTTTGGGGCCATTTTTTTCACCTTTTTTCCCCCAAACTTTGCCGCCCACACCTGACCCCGCCCCCGAGCCCCGCCCAGGCCCCGCCCAGGCCCCGCCCACCCGGAGCAGCTCCTCGGGCAGGTCGCCCCCATCACTGCTACCCCCTCTAAAATCCCCATTTTTTCACCTTTTTTCCCCCAAATTTCTTCCTTTTTCTCCCCAAACTTTGCCCCCCACACCTGACCCCGCCCCCTGACCCCGCCCCGGCCCCGCCCCGGCCCCGCCCACCCTGAGCAGCTCCTCGGGCAGGTCGCCGCCGTCGTTGATGCCGCGGTTCATGGCCACGAAGCGCGTCGGCCGAGGGCTTGTCCCGCACGTTGGGTTGTGCAGGCTCGTGTTGAGCATGATCACGGCAAAGGAGAGCACGTAACACGTGTCTGACACGCCAGCGACACGCCAGGGACACGCCAGGGACACAGGGGAGGCACAGGGGAGGCACAGGTGAGCTCCTAACCCGGCCAGGTGTGGCCCTGTGTCGCCCAGGTGTGTCCAGGTGAGCTCAGGTGTGGCCCTGTCCCAGCCAGGTGTGTCCCTGTGTCACCCAATTGTGTCCCTGTGTCACCCAGGTGTGATCCTGAGTCAGCCCAGGTGGGACAGGTGAGCTCCTAACCCAGCCAGGTGAGCACAGGTGTGTCCCTGTGCCACCCAATTGTGTCCCTGTGTCACACAGGTGTGTTTGTGTCACCCCAGGTGTGTTCCTGAGTCACCCCAGGTGTGTTTGTGTCACGCCAGGTGTGGCCCTGTGTCACCCAATTGTGGCCCTGTGTCACACAGGTGTGTTTGTGTCACCCAGGTGTGTCCCTGTGTCACCCCAGGTGTGTCCAGGTGAGCTCAGGTGTGGCCCTGTGCCACCCAGGTGTGTCCCTGTGTCACCCCAGGTGTGTTTGTGTCACCAATTGCGTCCTTGTCCCACCCAATTGTGTCCCTGTGTCACTCAATGGTGTCCCTGTGTCGCCCAGGTGTGTCCAGGTGAGCTCAGGTGTGGCCCTGTCCCAGCCAGGTGTGTCCCTGTGTCACCCAATTGTGTCCCTGTGTCACCCAGGTGTGATCCTGAGTCAGCCCAGGTGGGACAGGTGAGCTCCTAACCCAGCCAGGTGAGCACAGGTGTGTCCTGTGCCACCCAATTGTGTCCCTGTGTCACACAGGTGTGTTTGTGTCACCCCAGGTGTGTTCCTGAGTCACCCCAGGTGTGTTTGTGTCACGCCAGGTGTGGCCCTGTGTCACCCAATTGTGGCCCTGTGTCACACAGGTGTGTTTGTGTCACCCAGGTGTGTCCCTGTGTCACCCCAGGTGTGTCCAGGTGAGCTCAGGTGTGGCCCTGTGCCACCCAGGTGTGTCCCTGTGTCACCCCAGGTGTGTTTGTGTCACCCAATTGCGTCCTTGTCCCACCCAATTGTGTCCCTGTGTCACTCAATGGTGTCCCTGTGTCACCCCAGGTGTGTCCAGGTGAGCTCAGGTGTGTCCCTCTGCCACCCAATTGTGTCCCTGTGCCACCCAGGTGTGATCCTGTGTCAGCCCAGGTGTGTCCAGGTGAGCACAGGTGTGTCCCTGTGCCACCCAATTGTGTCCCTGTGTCACCCAGGTGTGGCCCTGTCCCATCCAGGTGTGAATCTGTGTCATCCCAGGTGTGATCCTGAGTCACCCCAGGTGTGTCCAGGTAAGCTCAGGTGTGGCCTTGTCCCACCCAATTGTGACCCAGTGCCACCCAGGTGTCACCCTGTGTCAGCCCAGGTGTGTCCAGGTGGGACAGGTGAGCTCCTAACCCGGCCAGGTGTGTCCAGGTGTGTCCCTGTGTCCCCAGATTGTGGCCCTGTGTCACCCAAGTGTCACCCTAGGTGTGTCCAGGTGGGACAGGTGAGCTCCTAACCCAGCCAGGTGTGGCCCTGTGCCACCCAGGTGTGATCCTGAGTCACCCCAGGTGTGTTTGTGTCACCCAATTGTGTCCCTGTGTCACTCAGGTGTCACCCTGTGTCAGCCCAGGTGTGTCCAGGTGGGACAGGTGAGCTCCTAACCCGGCCAGGTGTGGCCCTATGTCACCCAGGTGTGATCCTGAGTCACCCCAGGTGTGTCCCAGGTGGGACAGGTGAGCTCCTAACCCAGCCAGGTGTGTCCCTGTGCCACCGAGGTGTGTCCCTGTCCCACCCTGTGTCACCCCAGGTGTGTTTGTGTCACTCAATTGTGACCCTGTGTCACCCAGGTGTGATCCTGAGTCACCCCAGGTGTGCCCAGGTGGGACAGGTGAGCTCCTAACCCGGCCAGGTGTGGCCCTGTGTCACCCAATTGTGTCCCTGTGCCACCCAGGTGTGATCCTGAGTCACCCCAGGTGTGTTTGTGTCACCCCAGGTGTGTCCAGGTGAGCACAGGTGTGTCCCTGTGCCACCCAATTGTGTCCCTGTGTCACCCAGGTGTGGCCCTGTCCCATCCAGGTGTGATCCTGAGTCACCCCAGGTGTGTCCAGGTAAGCTCAGGTGTGGCCTTGTCCCACCCAATTGTGACCCAGTGCCACCCAGGTGTCACCCTGTGTCAGCCCAGGTGTGTCCAGGTGGGACAGGTGAGCTCCTAACCCGGCCAGGTGTGTCCAGGTGTGTCCCTGTGTCCCCAAATTGTGGCCCTGTGTCACCCAGGTGTGATCCTGAGTCACCCCAGGTGTGCTCCTAACCCGGCCAGGTGTGTCCCTCTGCCACCCAATTGTGTCCCTATGTCACCCAGGTGTGGCCCTGTGCCACCCAGGTGTGATCCTGTGTCACCCCAGGTGTGTTTGTGCCACCCAGGTGTGCCCAGGTGGGACAGGTGAGCTCCTAACCCAGCCAGGTGTGTCCCTGTGTCCCCCAATTGTGTCCCTGTGTCAGCCAATTGTGACCCTGTGCCACCCAGGTGTGATCCTGAGTCACCCAAGGTGTGTTTGTGTCACCCAGGTGTGAGTCTGAGTCACCCCAGGTGAGCCCAGGTGGGACAGGTGAGCTCCTAACCCAGCCAGGTGTGGCCCTGTGTCCCCCAATTGTGTCCCTGTGCCACCCAGGTGTGATCCTGTGTCACCCAGGTGTGTTTGTGTCACCCCAGGTGTGTCCAGGTGAGCTCAGGTGTGTCCCTGTGTCACCCAGGTGTGTCCCTGTGTCACTCAATGGTGTCCCTGAGTCACCCCAGGTGTGTTTGTGTCACCCCAGCTGTGCCACCTGTACAGGTGAACACCCCCGGGTTGCACAGGCAGCAGCGCTGGGTGTGTCAGTGATACCCCAGGTGTGTCAGGGCTGTACCCAGGTGTGCCCAGCTGTACCCAGGTGTATCCAGCTGTGTCCAGCTGTGTTACCTGTACAGGTGAACACGCCCGGGTTGCACAGGCAGTAGCGCTGCGCGAACGCCTCCATCATGCGATCGATTTTCTGCGCCTCCCCCGGCAGCCGGAAACTCCACAGGAACTGCCTGGAACATTCCGGAAACAAACACCTGGGGTTACCTGGAACACACCTGGGGTTACCTGGAACACACCTGGGGTTACCTGGAACACCTGGAGAATTCCCCAAAAAATCCCCTGGAATTACCTGAAACTCACCTGGGAAACCCCAGGTCCACCTGAGAGCCCCAAAAATTCACCTGGGAGCCCCCCCAGGTGACCCCACTTCAGCTGCAGGTGTGTCCCAGCTGTCCCCAGGTGTGTCCAGGTGTGCCCAGGTGTCCCTGGATGTCCCCAGGTGTGCCCCAGGTGTGTCCCACCCCCCCCCCCAGGTGTCCCCAGGTCTGTCCCAGGTGTATCCCAGGTGTCCCCAGCTGTCCTCAGGTGTGTCCCAGGTGTCCCCAGGTGTGTCCCAGGTGTGTCCCAGCTGTCCCCAGGTGTGTCCCAGGTGTCCCCAGGTGTGTCCCCAGCCCCCCAGGTGTCCCCAGGTGTGTCCCAGGTGTCCCCAGGCCCCCAGGTGTGTCCCAGGTGTCCCCAGGTGTGTCCCCAGGTGTGTCCCAGGTGTGCCCAGGTGTGCCCCAGGTGTCCCCCCAGGTGTCCCCAGGTGTGTCCCAAGTGGTCCCAGGTGTCCCCAGGTGTGTCCGAGATGTCCCCAGGTGTGTCCCAGCTGTCCCCAGGTGTCCCCAGGTGTCCCCAGGTGTGCCCAGGTGTCCCCCCGGTGTGTCCCAGGTGTCCCCAGGTGTGTCCCCAGCTGTCCCCAGCTGTGTCCCAGGTATCCCAGGTGTGTCCCAGGTGTGTCCCAGGTGTGTCCGAGATGTCCCCAGGTGAGTCCCCATCATCCCCAGGTGTCCCCAGCTGTCCCCAGGTGTGTCCCAGGTGTGCCCAGGTGTGTCCCCAGGTGTCCCCAGGTGTCCCCAGGTGTGTCCCAGGTGTCCCCCAGGTGTGCCCAGGTGTGTCCCCAGCTGTCCCCAGGTGTGTCCCAGGTGTGTCCCAAATGCTCGCAGGTGTCCCCAGGTGTGTCCCAGGTGTCCCCAGGTGTCCCCCAGGTGTCCCCCAGGTATCCCCAGGTGTGCCCCCAGCTGTCCCCAGGTGTATCCCAGGTGTCCCCAGGTGTGTCCCAGGTGTCCCCCAGGTGTCCCCAGGTGTGTCCTACCCCCCCTCCCCATCATCCCCAGGTATCCCCAGCTGTGTCCCAGGTGTGTCCCCAGCTGTCCCCCAGGTGTCCCCAGGTGTCCCCACCTGAGCGCCTGCACCAGGTTGAGGTCGGTGAACTCGTGCAGGTCCACAAAGGCGTGGAGGACGCCCAGGTTAAACTCCTCCCTGAGGGGCGGGGCCGGGCTGTCAATCACACCTGGCCACGCCCACTCTGTTAATCATCCATGTAACAGCCCAGTCCAGCCCCTGTCAATCATCCCATGGCCCCGCCTACCCTGTCATTCACCCTTTAAACAGCCCAGTCCAGCCCATGTCAATCATCCCCGGCCACGCCCACTCCATCATTCACCCATTGAACTGCTCCGTCCAGCCCCTGTCAATCATCCGTGACCACGCCCACTCCATCTTTCACCCATTTACCAGTCCAACACCTGTCAATCATCCCTGGCCACACCCACCTCATTTTTCACCCATGCAACAGACCAGTCCAGCTGCTGTCAATCATCCCTGGCCGCGCCCACATCCACAGGCAAGACACGCCCACCCCCTGTCAATCATGCTGGGTCCTGGCTTGGCCACGCCCTCAGATTGTAATAAGCCCCGCCCATTGGCTGTCAATCATTGCTCTCCAATCCCTCCCAGTCCCCCTCTAACCCCTCCCAGTCCCTCCCAGTCTGTCCCAGTCCCCCTTTAAGCCTTCCCAGTCTCTCCCAGTTACTCCCAGTCTCCCCCAATCCTCTCCCAGTCCCGCCCAGTCGCTCCCAGTCTCTCCCAGTCCCCCTCTAACCCCTCCCAGTTGCTCCCAGTCTCCCCCAATCCTCTCCCAGTCGCTCCCAGTCCTTCCCAGTTGCTCCCAATCCCCTCCCAGTCTCCCCCAATTCTGTCCCAGTCCCTCCCAGTCCCCTCCCAGTTGCTCCCAGTCCCTCCCAGTCCCTCTTTAACCCCTCCCAATCCCCTCCCAGTCCCTCCCAATCCCCTCCCGGTCCCTCCCAGTTTGTCCCAGTGGGTCCCAGTCTCCCCCAATCCTCTTCCAGTCCCTCCCAGTCCCTCCCAGTCCCCCTTTAACCCCTCCCAGTCCCTCCCAATCCTCTCCCAGTCCCTCCCAGTCTGTCCCAGTCCCTCCCAGTCCCACCTCTCCCCCAGGTAATCTCCTATGGCGGTTTTGTTCAGCCCCTCCCAGTTTGTCCCAGTCCCTCCCAGTCCCTCTTTAACCCCTCCCAGTCCCTCCCAGTTCCCTCCCAGTCTATCCCAGTCCCTCCCAGTCCCATCCCAGTCCCTCCCAGTTTGTCCCAGTCCCATCCCAGTCCCACCTTTTCCCCCAGGTAATCTCCTATTGAGGTTTTGTTCAGCCCCTCCCAGTTCCCTCCCAGTCGCCCCCAGTCTCCCCCAATCCTCTCCCAGTCCCTCCCAGTTGCTCCCAGTCCCCCTTTAACCCCTCCCAGTCCCTCCCAGTCCCTTCCAGTCCCCCTCTAACCCCTTCCAATCCCCTCCCAGTCCCTCCCAATCCCCTCCCAGTCTGTCCCAGTCCCCTCCCAGTCGCTCCCAGTCCCTCCCAGTTTGTCCCAGTCTGTCCCAGTTCCCCTTTAACCCATCCCAGTCCCTCCCTGTCTCTCCCAATCCCTCCCAGTCCCTCCCAGTCCCAGTCCCTCCCAGTTTCTCCCAGTCCCCCTCTAACCCCTCCCAGTCCTTCCCAGTCTCCCCCAATCCCCTCCCAGTCCCTCCCAGTCGCTCCCAGTCCCTCCCAGTCCCTCCCAATCCCCTCCCAGTCTGTCCCAGTCCCTTCTTTTCCCCTCCCAGTTACTCTCAGTCTCCCCCAATCCTGTCTCAGACCCATCCCAGTCCCTCCCAGTCCCTCCCAGTCCTTCCCAGTCCCCCTCTAACCCCTCCCAATCCCCTCCCAGTCGCTCCCAGTCCCCCTTTAATCCCTCCCAGTCCCTCCCAGTTCCCCCCAGTCCCTCCCAGTCCCTCCCAGTCCCACCTCTCCCCCAGGTAATCTCCTATGGCGGTTTTGTTCAGCCCCTCCCAGTCCCTCCCAGTCCGTCCCAGTCCATCCCAGTCCCACCTCTCCCCCAGGTAATCTCCTATTGCGGTTTTGTTCAGTCCCTCCCAGTCCCTCCCAATCCCCTCCCAGTCCCTCCCAGTCCCTCCCAGTCCCACCTCTCCCCCAGGTAATCTCCTATTGCGGTTTTGTTCAGCCCCTCTCCCTTGTAGAGGAAGCGGGCGATGTCCTCGGCCGTGTGCCGGAGCAGCTCCTGCTCCACCAGGAACTGGATCCCCTGGAACCCAACATTCCTGAAATCCAAACCTGCCCAAAACCCCAAAATTCCCACCCAAAATTCCCACCCAAAAACCCCAAAATTCCCACCCAAAATTCCCACCCAAAAACCCCAAAATTCCCACCTGAAAACCCCAAAATTCCCACCCGAAAACCCCAAAATTCCCACCCAAAAACCCCAAAATTCCCACCCAAAATTCCCGAAATTCCCACCCAAAATTCCCACCCAAAAATCCCCCAAAATTCCCACCCAAAATTCCCACCCAAAAACCCCAAAATTCCCACCCGAAATTCCCACCCAAAAACCCCAAAATTCCCACCCGAAAACCTCAAAATTCCCACCCAAAACCCCCAAAATTCCCACCCAAAAACCACCAAAATTCCCACCCAAAAACCCCAAAACTCCCACCCAAAAATCCCCAAAAATTCCCACCCAAAATTCCCACCCGAAAACCCCAAAATTCCCACCGGAAAACCTCAAAATTCCCACCCAAAAATCCCCCAAAATTCCCACCCGAAAACCTCAAAATTTCCACCCAAAAACCCCAAAATTCCCACCCAAAAACCCCAAAATTCCCACCCAAAAACCCCAAAATTCACTTTTTTTACAGCGAAAATTTGCATTTTTTTACATATTTAAGCATTCAAAGCAACCACAACTCCCTCCAAATTTTCCCCGAAATTCCCACAAAAAATTCCCCAAAAAAATTCCGAACATTCCCACAGAATTCCCCCAAAATCCAAAAATTTTCCCCCGAATTCCCCAAATTTTCGCGAAATCCCCTGGAAAATTCCCCCCAAAAATCCCCACAAAATTCACCCAAACCTCCCCAAAAATTCTCAAAAATTCCCCCAAATCCCCCCCCAAATTTACCCCAAAAAATCCCTGAAATTCCCCCAAAATTCTCAAAAAATTCCCACAAAATCCCCCAAAAAATTCCCCTGAAATTCCCCCCAAAACTGCCCCAAAAATTCCTGAAAATTCCCAAAAATTCCTCCAAAATGTCCCCCAATATTTCCCAAAAAATTCCCAAAAATTCCCAAATTTCCCCCTAAATCCCTCAAAAAAATTTCCCCCAAAATTCCCCAAAACTTCCCCAAAAATTCCCACCAAAAAACTCAAAAAAATTCCCTAAAAATTCCCAAAACTTCCCCAAAATTCCAAAAAATTCTCCCCAGATTCCCTAAAATTCCCCCCAAAATTCCAAAAAAAACCCCCCAAAATTCTCCCCAAATTCCCTGAAAAATTTAAAAAAATCCCTCAAAATTCCCAAAAATTCCCCCAAAAATTCCCAATTTTCCCCCTAAATCCCTGAAAAAAATTCCCTAAAAATTCCCCCCAAATTCCTAAAAACTCCCAATGATTCCCCCAAAATATTCCCCCACAATTCCTAAAATTTTACCCAAAATTCCCCAAAAATTCCCTGACAAATTAAAAAAAAATCCCTCAAAATTCCCAAAAATTCCCCCCAAAATTCCAATTTTCCCCCTAAATCCCTCAAAAAAGTTCCCTAAAAATTCCCAAAAACTTCCCCAAAATTCCAAAAAATTCTCCCCAGATTCCCTAAAATTCCCCCCAAAGATTCCCCCAAAAATTCCCCAAAAATTCCCAAATATTCCCCAAAATTCCCCGGAAAACTAAAAAAAATCCCTCAAAATTCCCAAAATTTCCCCAAAAATTCCCAAAAAATTCCCAAATATTCCCCCAAAATTCCTAAAATTTTACCCAAAATTCCCCCCAAAATTCCCTGATAAATTAAAAAAAATCCCTCAAAATTCCCAAAAATTCCCCAAAAATTCCCCAAAATCCCTAAAATTTCCCCCAAAATTCCCCCCAAATCTTCCCCCAAAATCCCCCCAAAATTCCCTGAAAAATTAAAAAAAAAATCCCTCAAAATTCCCAAAAATTCCCCAAAAATTCCCATTTTCCCCCTAAATCCCTCAAAATTCCCCCAAATTTCCAATTTTCCCCCAAAATTCCAAAATTCCCAAATTTCCCCAAATTCCCAAATTTCCCTGACCTTTTTTGGGTCCATGTTGAATTTCTTGCGGCCCATCCCATCTTGCGGTTCCGCTGCAGCGTCTTGCTGGAAATCCCAAAAAACTTTGGGAATTTGGGGATTTTTGGGAAAATTTTGGGGAATTTGAGGGAATTTTGGGGGAATTTTTGGGAAATTTGGGGTCAAAAATGGGAATTTTGGGGAAATTTTTGGGGAATTTGATGGGGGAGTTGTGGGGAAATTTTGGGGAATTTTCAGGAGATTTTGGGGGAAATTTTGGGGGAATTTTTTTGGGAATTTTGGGGGAATTTTTGGGAAATTTGGGGTTAAAAATGGGAATTTTCAGAGGGGATTTTTGGGAAATTTGGGGTCAAAAATGGGAATTTGATGGGGGAGTTTTGGGGAAATTTTGGGAATTTTCCGGGGAAATTTTGGGGGAATTTTTTGGGAATTTTTTTCGGAATTTTGGGGGAATTTTCAAGAAATTTGGGGTCAAAATGGGAATTTTCAGGGAATTTTTTGAGGGGATTTTGGGGAATTTGAAGGAATTTTTTGGAATTTTGGGGGAATTTTTGGGAAATTTGGGGTTAAAAATGGGAATTTTCAGGGAATTTTTTGAGGGAATTTTTTGGGAAATTTGGGGTCAAAAATGGGAATTTTGGGGGGAATTTCTGGGGAATTTTCCAGAAGATTTTTGGGGGAATTTTTTGGGGGAATTTTCAAGAAATTTGGGGTCAAAATGGGAATTTTCTGGGCATTTTTGAGGGGAATTTTGGGCAATTTGCGGGAATTTTTTGGGAATTTTGGGGGGATTTGATGGAATTTGGGGGGAATTTTGGGGGGAATTTTTGGGGAATTTGATGGGGGAGTTTTGGGGAAATTTTGGGGATTGAAGGGAAATATTTGGAAATTTTCCGGGGAAATTTTGGGGGAATTTTCCAGGGGATTTTTGGGGAATTTTGGGGGAATTTTTGGGAAATTTGGGGTCAAAAATGGGAATTTTTTGGGAATTTGATGGGGGAGTTTGGGGGAAATTTTTGGAAATTTTCCAGGGGATTTTTGGGGGAATTTTCAAGAAATTTGGGGTCAAAATGGGAATTTTTTGAGGGAATTTTTTCGGGAATTTTGGGGGAATTTTTGGGAAATTTGGGGTCAAAAATGGGAATTTTTGGGGAATTTGATGGGGGAGTTTTGGGGAAATTTTGGGAATTTGAGGGAAAGTTTTGGAAATTTTCCAGGGGATTTTTGGGGGAATTTTCAAGGAATTTGGGGTCAAAATGGGAATTTTCAGGGAATTTTTGAGGGAATTTTGGGGGAATTTTTTGGGAAATTTGGGGTCAAAAATGGGAATTTTTTGGGAATTTGATGGGGGAGTTTGGGGGAAATTTTGGGAATTGGAGGGAAATTTTTGGGGGATTTTTTGGGGAATTTTAGGGGAATTTTTGGGAAATTTGGGGTTAAAAATGGGAATTTTCAGAGGGGATTTTGGGAAATTTGGGGTCAAAAATGGGAATTATGATTGGGGGAGTTTTGGGGAAATTTTGGGGAATTTTTTGGGAATTTTTTTCGGAATTTTGGGGAAATTTTCAAGAAATTTGGGGTCAAAATGGGAATTTTCAGGGAATTTTTTGAGGGGATTTTGGGGAATTTGAAGGAATTTTTTGGAATTTTGGGGGAAATTTTTGGGAAATTTGGGGTTAAAAATGGGAATTTTGGGGGGAATTTCTGGGGAATTTTCCGGGGGAATTTTGGTGGAATTTTTTGGGAATTTTCCAGGGGATTTTTGGTGAATTTGAGGGAACTTTGGGGGAATTTTTGGGAATTTTGGGGTCAAAAATGGGAAATTTTTGAGGGGATTTTGAGGGAATTTTTGGGAAATTTGGGGTGAAAAATGGGAATTTGATGGGGGAGTTTGGGGGAAATTTTTGGAAATTTTCCAGGGGATTTTTGGGGGAATTTTCAAGAAATTTGGGGTCAAAATGGGAATTTTTTGAGGGAATTTTTCGGGAATTTTGGGGGAATTTTTGGGAAATTTGGGGTCAAAAATGGAAAATTTTTGTGGAATTTTTGGGGAAATTTTTGGGAATTTTCCAGGGGATTTTTGGGGAAATTTTTGGGATGTTTTGGGGATATTTTGGGGGATATTTTTGGGAATAGTTGGGGCTATTTTGCAGCTTTTTTTTTGAATAAATTTTGAATATTTTTTGAGCTATTTTTGGGATATTTTTGGGATAAATCTGGAATATTTTGGAGCTATTTTTTGGATATTTTGGGGCTATTTTTGGGACTATTTTGGGGATATTTTTGGGACTATTTCAGGATATTTTGGGGATATTTTTGGGAAGAGTTGGGGCTATTTTGCAGCTTTTTTTTTTGAATAAATTTTGAATATTTTTTGAGCTATTTTTGGGATATTTTTGGGATAAATCTGGAATATTTTGGAGCTATTTTTTGGGATATTTTGGGGCTATTTTTGGGACTATTTTGGGGATATTTTTGGGACTATTTCAGGATATTTTGGGGATATTTTTGGGAATAGTTGGGGCTATTTTGCAGCTGTTTTTTTGAATACATTTTGAATATTTTGGAGCTATTTTTGGGATAAATCTGGAATATTTTGGAGCTATTTTTTGGGATATTTTTGAGCTATTTTTGAACTATTTTTGGGATATTTTGGGGATATATTTGGAATAGTTGGGGCTATTTTGCAGCTTTTTTTTTTTAATAAATCTGGAATATTTTTGAGCTATTTTTGGGATAAATTTGGAATATTTTGGAGCTATTTTTTGGATATTTTTGAGCTATTTTTGAGCTATTTTTGGGATATTTTGGAGCTATTTTTGGGATATTTTGGGGATATTTTTGGGACTGTTTCAGGATATTTTGGGATATTTTTGGGACTATTTTGGGGACAGTTTTGGGAATAGTTGGGGCTATTTTTCAGCTTTTTTTAAATAAATTTGGAATATTTTTTAGCTATTTTTGGGATAAATTTGGAATATTTTGGAGCTATTCTTTGGGATATTTTTGAGCTATTTTTGGGATAAATTTGGAATATTTTGGAGCTATTTTTTGGGATATTTTAAGCTATTTTTGGGATATTTTTGAGCTATTTTTGAGCTATTTTTGGTATATTTTGGAGCTATTTTTGGGATATTTTGGGGATATTTTTGGGACTGTTTCAGGATATTTTGGGGATATTTTTTGGGATATTTTTGGGACTGTTTGAGGTGCCTGACCTGCCCTCGTTGGCCTCCAGCCCCTCGACCTCGCTGATGGCCTCGCTGAGCTCGTCCCGCAGGCGCTGGATCTCCCCCAGCAGCTCCTGCTTGCGGCGCCGGATGGACTCCAGCTCCCGCCGCTCCTCCGGGGACAGGTCCGGGGGCACTGGGGACACGGCCGGGCCTGAGCCGACACAGCTGGACACAGCTGGCCACAGCTGGGAACATCCCTGGTACACCTGGGTACACCTGGGTACACCTGGGCACAGCTGGGCACAGCTGGGCACATCCCTGGTACACCTGGGTACAGCTGGGCCCGGCCCGAGCCCACCAGGACCCACCCCAGGAACTCCAGCCTGGGATATCTGGATCATTGACCACGCCCACATCACACTGACCACGCCCACAGGTCCAAGACCACGCCCACATCAGAGCTGGGCACACCTGGGCACATCCCTGGCACACCTGGATACACCCGAGCCCACCAGGACCCAACCCCAGAACTCCACTCTGAAGGGAGTTGGATCCCTGGCCACGCCCACAGCTCTCTGACCACGCCCACATCACACCTGGGCACACCTGGGCACACCTGGGCACTGCCCGAGCCCACCAGGACCCACCCCAGGAACTCCACTCTGAGGGGAGTTGGATCCCTGGCCACGCCCACAGGTCCCAGACCACGCCCACATCACAGCTGGGTACACCTGAGCACTGCCCGAGCCCACCAGGACCCACCCCAGGAGCTCCAGCCTGGGGGATTTGGATGCCTGGCCACGCCCACATCGCACTGACCACGCCCACATCGCACTGACCACGCCCACATCACACCTGGGTACACCTGGGTACAGCTGGGAACATCCCTGGTACACCTGGGTACAGCTGGGCCCTGCCTGAGCCCACCAGGACCCACCCCAGGAACTCCACCCTGGGGGATTTGCATCCCTGGCCACGCCCACATCACACCTGGGTACGTCCCTGGCACATCTGGGCACAGCTGGGCACACCTGGGCCCTGCCCGAGCCCACCAGGACCCACCCCAGGAACTCCAGCCTGGGATATCTGGATCATTGACCACGCCCACATCACACTGACCACGCCCACAGGTCCAAGACCACGCCCACATCACAGCTGGGCACACCTGGGTACACCTGGGCCCTGCCCGAGCCCACCAGGACCCACCCCAGGAACTCCACTCTGAAGGGAGTTGGATCCCTGGCCACGCCCACATCGCGCTGACCACGCCCACAGGTCTCAGACCACGCCCACATCACAGCTGGGCACAGCTGGGAACATCCCTGGCACACCTGGGCACGCCTGGGTACACCTGGGTACAGCTGGGCCCTGCCCGAGCCCACCAGGACCCACCCCAGGAACTCCACTCTGAAGGGAGTTGGATCCCTGGCCACGCCCACATCACATTGACCACGCCCACATCACACCTGGGTACACCTGAGCACTGCCCAAGCCCGCCAGGACCCACCCCAGGAACTGCAGCCTGGGAGATTTGGATCCCTGGCCACGCCCACATGACACTGACCACGCCCACATCACAGCTGGGCACACCTGGGTACACCTGGGTACAGCTGGGCCCTGCCCGAGCCCACCAGGACCCACCCCAGGAACTCCAGCCTGGGGGATTTGGCTCCCTGGCCACGCCCACATCACACCTGGGTACAGAGCCGGCGCCAGGGGATCCCCCCCTAGAGCTCCATTCTGGGAGATTTTGAACCCAGGCCACGCCCACAGGTCCCAGACCACGCCCACATCACACCTGGGCACACCTGGAGCCACCCCAGGAACTCCACTCTGGGAGATTTGGATCATTGGCCACGCCCACAGATCCCTGACCACGCCCACACCTCCCTGACCACGCCCATTGCACAACTGACCACACCCACACCTTAATGACCACACTTGGTGCACTTTCCTTAACCACGCCCCCTCCCGAACAAGCCCCGCCCCTTCATTCAAATATCACCACCTTACCCTCTCACTGGTCACGCCCCTTTTTCATACAAAGGTCTGACCTAAAGGGGCGTGGCCTTCCCAATAACACCTGGCTCACCCCAAAGGGGTGTGGCCTCATTTGCATATGCGAGTGGGCGTGGCTTGACACAAATAAGGCGTGCTCTACTAAAGGGGTGTGGTTTAGTATAAGGGGGCGTGGTCAAATCAAAGTAGGCGTGGTCGCATCGCCCCTCATTGAATGCTGACTCCACCCTCCATTATTTGCCCCGCCCACCCACGTGACCCCACCCCGCCCCATTTTCCCGCCGCGCCCATCACGTGACCGCTCCTCGCCCCGCCATTGGCCGGCGCCTCACGAAACCCCCCACCCCCCCCACCCCCTTTTCCCCTCACGTTCCCCTCACGATTTTCCCGCCCGGCCCCGGTGCCCGCCCCGATCCCGCCGCGGTTCCCGCCCGGCCCCGCCGCCCTCAGCGGCCTCACCGTAAACTCCGTCCTCCATGGCGGCCCCGGGGCGGCTCGGCCGCGGCCGCTCCGCTGCTCCCGCCCCGCTCCGCCCGCCCCGCCGGGCCCGGGCCCGCTCCGGCTCCGCCACACGGCGGCTCCCGCCCTTCAGCGGCGCCACCGCCAATCAGCGCCGCGCTAAGGGTGAGTGACGGGCGGCGCGGCCAATAGGAGGCGGGGAAAGGCGGGAGCAATACCTTAACGAATGAGACCGCGCAGTGATGTGATTGGCGGTGGTTTTAACCAGTCAGAAGCGTGGCAAGGCGGTGCCCACGTTGTTCTTATATGATTGACAGCTAATTCAGCCAATAGCAAGGGGGATTCGCTGAAGGGGCGGGTCTTGGCGCTTTGATGGGCGTTTTGCTGCGATCTTATTAATATTAATGAGGGTTATTAATATTAATGAGGTTTCCTGGGTGTTCTGCGGGTTCTTTCCGGGTTCCAAATGTCGCAAATTCCCCAAAATGTCCTAAAATCTCTCCAAACCACCCAGATTCCCTCAATTCCTAAAAAAATAACCCCAAAAGGACCCAAATTTCCCCCAAATGTCCCCAAACCTCCCCAAATTCCCAGAATCTCCACAAAATAATCCCGAAATTCCCAAAGTTCCCACTAAATGGCCCTAAAATAGCCGCAAAATTCCAAATTTTTTCACAAAATGGCATCAAAATGGCTCCAAATTCCCACAAAATTCCACCTAAATGGCCCCAGATTCCAAAAAATTCCCCAAATTTTTTCCTTATGACCCCAAATTTCAAAAGATTCCTGAAATTGGTCTGGACCACCCCAGAACTCCGCCAAATTCCAAAACAATTCCCCAAAATTTCCCTAAATTCCCACAAAATTCCTAAATTTTGTCCAAATGTCCTCAAATTCCCCCAAATGTCCCCAGATTTCAGAACAATTTCCCACAATTTCCCCAAATTCCCACAAAATTCCCCCAAATTCCCTCAATTTCCCCAAAACTTCCCAAAAATTCCCGTTTTTCACGCTTGGTTTTTATTGGAAAGAGCGAAATTCCCGTAAAAATTCGCATGCGGGGGGGCGGGGCCAGGCCGGGGGGGCGGGGGCTTCTGCCTGGAGGGGCGGGGCTTAAAGGCAGGGGCGTGGCCAACACCCTTGGGACTTGGTTTGATCACAAACGGGGGCGTGGTCACAGCCCAGGTGTGAAGGGGGGCGTGGTCTGAGCTGGGTGAGGGGCGGGGTTTGGGTGGGAGGGGAAGAAAGGGGCGGGGGTCTGGTAAAGGGGGCGGGGTTTGGTAAAGGGGGCGGGGCCTGGGCGGTCCCGGGGGGGCTCCCGATGATCCCAGCCCCCCCCAGGGGCGTTGGGGGACTGGGGACAAACTGGGAGGGACTGGGACAAACTGGTCCAAACTGGTCCATACTGGCCCAGGGATACTGGGACAAAACTGGTCCAGACTGGCCCAGGGATACTGGGACAAAACTGGTCCAGACTGGCCCAGGGATACTGGTCCAAACTGGTCCAAACTGGTCCAAACTGGTGTTGGGAAACTGGGGGATACTGGTCCAGGGAACTGGGATTTACTGGTCCAAAACTGGTCCAGGCAAACTGGGGGATACTGGTCCCATGTAAGGCAGTGAACTGGTCTGGAGTGGCCCAAACTGGTCCAGATTGTTCCAGGGAACTGGGGGTTACTGGTCCAAACTGGTCCAAACTGGTCCAGGAAAACTGGGGGTTACTGGTCCAAACTGGTCCGTACTGGTATTGGAAACCTGGGGGATACTGGTCCAGGGAACTGGTCTGGACTGGTCCAAACTGGTCCAGGCAAACTGGAGGATACTGGTCCAGGGAACTGGGATTTACTGGTCCATACTGGTCCAAACTGGTCCAGGAAACTGGGGGATACTGGTCCCATATCAGGCAGTGAACTGGTCTGGAGTGGCTCAAACTGGTCCAGGGAAACTGGGAGTTACTGGTCCAAACTGGTTCAAACTGGTCCAGGCAAACTGGGGGATACTGGTCCAGGGAACTGGTCTGGACTGGTCCAAACTGGTCCAAACTGGTCCGTACTGGTATTGGAAAACTGGGGGATACTGGTCCGGGGAACTGGGTCCGGACTGGTCCAAACTGGTCCAGGCAAACTGGGGGATACTGGTCCCATATCAGGCAGTGAACTGGTCCAAAACTGGTCCAAACTGGTCCATACTGGTCCAAACTGGTCCGTACTGGTCCAAACTGGTCCGTACTGGTGGGGGCATCCTGGGGGTCCCAACCCCCCCTTTAAGGCACTGGGACTCCCCGGGGCTTGGGGGGGGAAGGGGCAAAATTTGGGTGAATTTGAGGGGATTTTGGGTGAAATTTGGGGCAAAATTTGGATGAATTTGAGGGGATTTTGGGTGAAATTTGGGGCAAAATTTGGATGAATTCTGTGGGAATTCTGGGTGAATTTTGGGTTCATTTTGCAGTGAAATTTTGATTAATTTTTGGGTGATTTTGGGGTGAATTTTTTGAGGATTTTAAGGTGAATTTTGGGTGAATTTTGGGGTGATTTTTGGGCTGATTTGAGGTAATTTTGGAGTGAATTTTGGGCTGATTTGAAATGAATTTTGGATTAATTTTGGGGTGATTTTTGGGGACAATTTTGGGGTGATTTTAAGGTGAATTTTGGGCTGATTTTTGCATAATTTTGGTGATTTTGGGGTGGATTTTAGGGATGATTTTGGGGTGAATTTTCGGGTGAATCTTGACTGATTTTGGAGGAATTTTACAGTGAATTTTGAGTGAATTTTGGATTAATTTTCGGGTGAATTTTGAGTGAATTTTGGGGTAATTTTGGGGTAAATTTTGGGGTGAATTTTGAGTAAATTTTAGCTGAATTTTGGGGTGAATTTTGGGGTAATTTGGGATGATTTTAAGGTGAATTTTGGGCTGAATTTTGGGCTGATTTTGGAATTATTTTAAGGTGATTTTTTGGGTAATTTTCAGGTGATTTTGGGGGTGAATTTTGGCTGATTTCAGCTGATTTTGGGCTGATTTTGGAATTATTTTAAGCTGAAATTTGAGGTAATTTTCAGCTGATTTTGGGGTGAATTTTGGTGTAAATTTTGGGTGGATTTTGAGTGAATTTTGGGGTAATTTTAAGGTGAATTTCGGGGTGAATTTGAGTGATTTTTGATGGATTTAGGGGTGAATTTCAGGGTAATTTGGGATGATTTGAAGGTGAATTTTGGGCTGATATCACCTGATTTTGGGGTGATTTTGGGCTGATTTTGGAATTATTTAAGGGTGCATTTTTGGGTAATTTTCAGCTGATTTTTGGGCTGAATTTTGAGTAAATTTTGGGTGGATTTTGAGTGAATTTTAGGGTAATTTTCGGTTGAATTTTGGTGTAAATTTCGAGTGAATTTTGGGTGTATTTTCAGTGAATTTTAGGGTAATTTTGGGGTGATTTTGGCGTAAATTTCGGGGTAAATTTTGGGGTGAATTTTGAGTAAATTTTGGCTGAATTTTGATGGATTTTGGAGTAAATTTCGGGGTAATTTGGGATGATTTTAAGGTGAATTTTCGGATGATTTTGGGCTGATTTTGGAATTATTTTAAGGTGAATTTTGGGGTAATTTTGGGTGATTTTGGGGGTGAATTTTGAGTGAATTTTGGGGTAATTTTAAGGTGAATTTTGGGGTAAATTTCGTGTGGATTTTGGGGTGAATTTTCAGTAAATTACGGCTGAATTTCGGGTGATTTTTGATGGATTTAGGGGTGAATTTCAGGGTAATTTGGGATGATTTTGGGCTGATTTTTGGGTGATTTTGGGCTGATTTTGGAATTATTTTAAGCTGAATTTTTGGGTAATTTTCAGCTGATTTTTGGGTGAATTTTGGGTGATTTTGGGCTGATTTTGGAATTATTTTAAGGTGCATTTTTGGGTAATTTTCAGCTGATTTTGGGCTGAATTTGGGGCGATTTTTGGGCTGAATTTTGGGTGATTTTGGAATTATTTTAAGGTGAATTTTGGGCTGATTTCAGCTGATTTTGGGGTGATTTTGGAATTATTTTAAAGTGCATTTTTGGGTAATTTTCAGCTGATTTTGGGCTGAATTTCGGGCGATTTTTGGGCTGAATTTTGGGTGATTTTGGAATTATTTTAAGGTGAATTTTGGGCTGATTTCAGCTGATTTTGGGCTGATTTTGGAATTATTTTAAGCTGCATTTTTGGGTAATTTTCAGCTGATTTTGGGGTGAATTTTGGGTGATTTTTGATGGATTTTGGGGTGAATTTTGAGCGATTTTTGGATGAATTTTGATGGATTTTGGGTGAATTTCAGCGTAATTTGGGATGATTTTAAGCTGCATTTTTGGGTAATTTTCAGCTGATTTTGGGCTGAATTTCGGGTGATTTTTGGGCTGAATTTTGGGTGATTTTGGGCTGATTTTGGAATTATTTTAAGGTGCATTTTTGGGTAATTTTCAGCTGATTTTGGGCTGAATTTTGGGTGATTTTGGGCTGAATTTCGGGTGATTTTTGGGCTGAATTTTGGGTGATTTTGGGCTGAATTTCGGGTGATTTTTGGGCTGAATTTTGGGTGATTTTGGGCTGAATTTGGGGCTCATTTGGGGCAATCCCCGCCCCCCTACACCGGGGTCGTTTTCCTGTTCAGGGTCCCGGTGCCCCCCCCGGGGGTCTCGGCCCCTCCCCCCGCCCCTCCCCCCCCCTGCAGCGTCAGGAAAGCCCCGGGGGGGGCGGGGGAGGGGCGGGGCCGGGCGTGCCGGGCGGGGCCGGAGGTGGGAGGGGCGCAGCCCCAGGGGGCGGGGGAGGGGGAGACGAAGCCACGCCCACTCCGGGCGGGGGGAGGGGCCCTTCCCCGCCGGCCCCTCCCCCCCTGCTCAGGGTGTACATGGAAATCTCAGCGGGGGGAGGGGAGGCCGAGGCCTTCCCGCGCTGCTGCGGCTGCTGCGCCTGCGCGGAGGGAGGGGAGGGGTCACGTGACTTGCCGCTGGAGCGCGAGCCCGAGCGCGAGCGGCGGCGCGGGGGGCGGGGCCTGGACAGAGGGGGCGGGGCCTGCCGGGGTAAAAGCGGCGGCGCGGGGGGCGGGGCCGGCGGAGGGGGCGGGGCCTTGCGGTGACGCTCGATGTAGAGGTTGACGGCCAGGACGCCGATGGCCTCGGCCAGGATGAAGGAGACGCCCCCGAAGTAGAAGCTCCAGCCGTAGCTGTAGGGGGAGGGGCGGCGCTCCCCGTCCCGCCGGGGGGGGGAGGGGAGGCCCCCCCCGGACCCCTCCCCCCCGGCGTTGGCCGAGATGTAAACGATGACGCCGATGATGTTGGAGAGGCCTGGCGGGGAAGGGGTTAACAAGGGGAATGGGGGGGGGGGTTCGTTAATTCATCAATAAATTAAAAAAAAAATTAATTAAAAAATGAATTTGGAAAAATTAATTTTTAAAATTCATTTTAAATGAATTTTGGAAAATTAATTTTTAAATTTCATTTTAAATGAATTGTGCAAAAATTAAGTTTTAAAATTCATTTTAAATGAATTGTGCAAAAATTAAGTTTTAAAATTCGTTTTAAAAAAAAAATGAATTTGAAGAAATGAATTTGGAAAAAAATGAATTTAAAAAAAAAATATGAATTGGAAGACGAATTTTAAAAAAATGAATTTTGAAAATTCATTGCAAAATGAATTTTAAAGAATGAATTTTTAAAAAATGAATAAAAATTAATTTTAAATGGATTTCAAAAATTAATGTTAAAAATTAATTTAAAAAAATTTAAAATTAATTTTAAAGATATTTTTAAAAAGTAATTAAAAATTAATTTTTAAAATGTGTTTTAAAAATTAATTTACAACTTAATTTTCAACATATTAATTTCAAAACATGAATTTTAAAAAATGAATTAAAAAATTAATTAAAAATTAATCTTAAAAATTAAAAATTAATCTTAAAAACTAAATTTTAAAAAATGAATTTTCAAAAGTTAATTTTCAAAAATTGAATTTTTAAAAATTAATTAAAAATTAATTTTCAAAAATTGAATTTTAAAAATTTAATTTTAAAATTCTTTTTAAAATATGAATTTTAAAAATTTATTTTAAAAGAATTTTTAAAATTAATTTTTAAAAATTAATTAAAAATTAATTTTTAAAAATGAATCTTCAGAAATTGAATTTTAAAAATGAATTTTCAAAAATTGTATTTTAAAAATTTAATTTTAAAATTCTTTTTAAAATATGAATTTTAAAAATTAATTTAAAATGAATTTTTTAAAATGAATTTTAAAATATGAATTCAGAAAGGAATTTTTAAAAATGAAGTTTTAAAAATTAATTACAAAATTGGATTTGGGTTGAATTCTGGAGATGGAATTTTGAATGGTTTTAGGGGTTTTGGGGTTTTAGGGGTTTTTTTGGGAAGGATTTTTGGGGTGAATTTGGGGGTTTTTGGGGAAGGATTTTGGAGATGGGTTTTTGAATGGATTTGGGGGTTTTCGGGATGGATTTTGGTGATGGATTTTTGAATGGATTTTGGTGGTTTTGGGGATGGATTTTTGGGGTGAATTTGTGGTTTTTGGATGGATTTTGGGGATGGATTTTTTAATGGATTTGGGGGTTTTGGGGACGGATTTTTGGGGTGAATTTGGGATTTTTTAACCCCTCACTCACCCGCAGCCATGAAGAGGATGCTGGGATGGATTTGGGGTGGATTTGGGATGGATTTTGGGCTGATTTTTGGGGTGAATTTGGGGGTTTTTAACCCCTCACTCACCCGCGGCCACGAAGAGGATGCTGGAATGGATTTGGGGTGGATTTTGGTGGTTTTTGGATGGATTTTGGAGATGGATTTTTTAATGGATTTGGGGGTTTTGGGGATGGATTTTTGGGGTGAATTTGGGGTTTTTTCACCCCTCACTCACCCGCGGCCACGAAGAGGATGCCGGCGCCGAGCACCAGGCTGGTCCTGGCGCGCCGCAGCCGCGAGGCCGCCACGCAGAGCCCCCCCAGCAGCAGCAGCACCGCGCTCAGGATGGGGAAAATGCTCGAGGCCCGGACCACGCCTGCGCGGGGAGAAACGGCCAATCAGGGCCCAGCAGAGGAACCCCGGCGGCCAATGGGGGCGCTGAGGACGGGCGGGCCAATCAGGGCCCGGCAGAGGAACCCCGGCGGCCAATGGGGGCGTCTGAGGACGGGCAGCCAATCAGGGGGAAGGGTGGGAATGGGAGGTGGCGTTGGGACCAATCAGGGAGCAGGAATGGAGGGCTGACCAATCAGAGCGCAGTGTTGGAAAGGGATCGGGGAGTTCTGACCAATCAGAACCCAGCAATGGAGGGGAGTCTGGGAGTTCTGCCCAATCAGAGCCCAGCAATGGAGGGGGGGGGGGGTGTCAAATTTGGGAGTTCTGACCAATCAGAGCCCAGCAATGGAGGGGGAGGGGGGGGGTCAAATTTGGGAGTTCTGACCAATCAGAGCGCAGCAATGGAAAAGGGATCTGGGGGCTGTGACCAATCAGGGAGCAGGACTGGAGGGCGGGCTGGGAGGTCTGACCAATCACAGCTCAGTTTTGGAAAGGGATCGGGGAGTTCTGACCAATCAGAGCTCAGCATTGAAAAGGGATCTGGTTTGGGAGTTCTGACCAATCGGAGGGCAGCAATGTAAATGGATTGGGGAGTTGTAACCAATCAGAAGCCAGCAATGGGGAGGAGTTTGGTTTGGCGGTTCTGACCAATCAGGGAGCAGCATTGGAAAGGGATCTGGGAGTTCTGACCAATCAGAGCCCAGCAATGGAGGGAGGGGTCAAATTTGGGAGTTCTGACCAATCAGAACACAGCGTTGGAAAGGAATCCGTTATCTCCAGCCAATCACAGAGCCAGGCGTGTTGCCATGGTAACGGGTGGCTGGGGAACCCGGCTGTTGCCATGGCAACGGCCTCGGCATGGCTGGGACGGTTGCCAGGGCGGCCACTGGGTCGTTGCCATGGCAACAGCAATGCCGGGAGGATGCTGGGGGGCGTTGCCATGGCGACGGCAATGCAAGGAGGATGCTGGGAGCGTTGCCATGGTGACAGCAATGCCGGGAGGATGCCGGGAGCGTTGCCATGGCGACGGCAATGCAAGGAGGATGCTGGGAGCGTTGCCATGGTGACAGCAATGCCGGGAGGATGCTGGGAGCGTTGCCATGGTGACAGCAATGCAAGGAGGATGCTGGGGGCGTCGCCATGGCGACGGCAATGCCGGGAGGATGCTGGGAGCGTTGCCATGGCGACGGCAGCAGCATCGCTGGCCCGGTTGCCGTGGAAACGCTTGGCTGGGTACCAGGCTGTCTCCATGGCGACGGGAGGATGCCGGGAGCGTCGCCATGGCAACGGCTGGGCCGGGAGGATGCTGGGAGTGTTGCCATGGAAACAGAAGCCAAAGTTGGGTTGCCACGGTGACACAGGCACGGTCGCCATGGTGACAATGACAATGAGAGGGTCGCCATGGTGACAATGAGGTGACAGTAATGGTTGCCATGGTGACAATGACACGGTTCCCATGGTGACAGTGACACGGCTGCCATGGTGACAATGAGGTAACAATGACACGGTTGCCATGGTGACAGTGACGGTTGCCATGGTAACTCATGCAGCAGGTACTGGTGACAATGACACGGTTGCTATGGTGACAGTGAAGGACTCGGTTGCCATGGTGACAATGACGTGACAGTGACACGGTTGCCATGGTGACAGTGACGGTTGCCAAGGTAACTCACGCAGCAGGTACTGGTGACAATGAAGGTGACAGTGACACGGTTGTCATGGTGACAATGAGGGTGACACGGTTGCCATGGTAACTCACGCAGCAGGTACTGGTGACAATGAGGTGACAATGTCCCTGTTGCCATGGTGACAGTGAGGTGACACCCGTTGCCATGGGTGACAATGAGGTGACAGTGGACACGGTTGCCATGGTGACAATGAGGTGAGAGTGACATGGGTACCATGGTGACAATGACGGTTGCCATGGTAACTCACGCAGCAGGTACTGGTGACAATGAGGGTGACAATGACACGGTTGCCATGGTGACAATGACGGTTGCCATGGTAACTCACGCAGCAGGTACTGGTGACAATGAGGTGACAATGAAGGTCCCCATGGTGACAATGTCCCCGTTGCCATGGTAACTCACGCAGCAGGTACTGGTGACAATGAGGTGACAATGACACGGTTGCCATGGTGACAATGAGGGTGACAATGTCCCCGTTGCCATGGTGACAGTGACACGGTTGCCATGGTAACTCACGCAGCAGGTACTGGTGACAATGACACGGTTGCCATGGTGACAATGAGGTGACAATGTCCCTGTTGCCATGGGTGACAATGTCCCCGTTGCCATGGTAACTCACGCAGCAGGTACTCGGCGCTGTCGTGGTCGTACTCCAGGTCCTCGGGGAAGTGATTGATGCGCAGGCACAGCCCCCGCTTCAGACCTGGGGACACATTGGGGACAGCATTGGGGACATTGGGGGACATCGGGGACATTGGGGGCATTGGGGACATTGAGGACATTGGGGACATCATTGGGACATTGGGGACACTGGGGACATCGGGGACATCGGGGACATCGGGGACATTGGGGACATTGGGGACCCCAGCAGTGTCACCCGTGTCCCCAGTGATGTCACCAATGTCTCCAACCGTGTCAAAGGCGTCCCCAATGTCCCCAGTGACAGCCCAGGTGCCACCAACCCCCCTGAGCCCCGTCCAGGTGCCACCAATGACATCGGAAGGTGCCACCAACCCCATCCCAGGTGCCACCAACATTCCCGAGCCGTGTCCCCAATGTCCCCAGTGATGTTCCTGATGTCCCCAACCCCATCCCAGGTGCCACCAGCTCTCCTGAACCATGTGCCCAATGTCACCAATGACATCCTTGGTGTCCCCAACTCTCCCGAACTGTGTCCCCAATGTCACCAATGATGTTCCTGGTGTGCCCAACCCTCCCGAACCATGTCCCCAGTGTCCCCAGTGATGTTCCTGATGTCCCCAACCCCATCCCAGATGCTACCAATGACATCAGAGGTGCCACCAACCCCATCTCAGGTGCCACCAATGACATCAGAGATGCCACCAACCCTCCTGAACCCCATCCCAGGTGCCACCAACCCCATCCCAGGTGCCATCAAAATTCCCGAGCCATGTCCCCAGTGTCTCCAATGATGTCCCTGGTGCCACCAACCCCATCCCAGGTGCCACCAACCCTCCCGAATGCCATCCCAGGTGCCACCACCCCCCCATCCCAGGTGCCACCAGCCCCACCCCAGCTGTCCCCGTGTGTCACCTTCGAGGCAGCAGACCCTCCAGAGGCCGGAGTGTGTGAGCCCCCCGTGCGCGGTGGCCGCCGTCCCCGTGGCTGTCCCGCCGCTGTTGGTGGCGTTGCCGGTGGCGTTGCAGACGCGGGTGCGCGCGCGTACAGCCAGTAGTCGGTGCCGATGGCGATGGCCATGAGGCCGAAGGCCGCGAAGGCGCCCACGGCCGTCAGCAGCACCTGCACCCCCCGCTCGCACCACAGGGCCCCGCCCCCGGCCCCGCCCCCCGCCCCGGCCCCGCCCTCCCAGCGCTTCAGCGACCCCCAGAGCGGGGGGAGGGGCCGCGAGGAGGAGGAGGGGGAGGGGCTGCGGAGAGGGCGGGGGGGGAGGGGGGGGGCGGAGGGGGAGGGGCCGGCGGTGGCTCCGCCCCCTCCTCCTCCTCCTCCCCCCACCGAGGCCCCGCCCCCTCCCCACAGGGTGAGGATGCCAGGGTGGGGGAGGGGTTAAAGGGGGGGAGGGGTTAAAGGGGGGAGGGGTTAAAAAAAGTGGGCGGGGGTGGGGATTTTGGGGGGGTTTTGGGGATTTAGGGGGGTTTGGGGAGGATTTGGGGGTGGGGGATTTGGGGGGGATTTTGGGGGTTTTGGGGGGATTTGGGGGGTCTAAAGGAGATTTGGGGGTTGGGGGAGGGATTTGGGGGGTTTTGGGGTGGGGGAGGGGCTGTTCAGAGCAGTTTTGGGGGTCCCGGGGTTGTTTTTTGGGGGGGTCGCAGGTGCTTGGGGGGGGGCTCTTCGCTCTCGGCCAATCAGCTGCGGAGAAATGGGGGGTGGGGGGTGGGGGTCTTTAATGAGATAAAATTGGGGGGGGGGGTCCCAAAGTGGGGGGGGGGGGGGGGGGAAGGGGAAAATTGGGGAGGGGTCCGGGATCGCCCCTCCCCCTCCAAGGCACGGGAACAGCCCCGGGGAGCCCCAAAATCCCCTCAGGACCCCCCCAAAATCCTCCCGGGACCCCCCCAAATCCGCTCAGGACACCCCCAAAACCCATCGAGGACCACCCTAGAAGTCCCCAAATTCCCCCAAAATCCCCTCAAGACCCCCCCAAAACCTTCCAGGACCACCCCAGAACTCCCCAAAATCCCCCCAAAATCCTCTCCGGGCCCCCCAAAATCCCCTCAAGACTCCCCCCAGGACCCCCCAAAATCCATCCAGGACCTCCACAGAACCCCCCCAAATTCCCCCCAGGACCCCCCAAAATCCCCTCAAGACCCCCCCAAAATCCATCCCGGACCCCCCAAAATCCTCCCCCCCCGGACCTCTCCAGGACCCCCCCCAAAACCCATCCAAGACCCCCAAAGCAACCCCCGACCCCCCCCCAGGAGCCCCCCAAAACCCCCCCAAGACTCCCCCAAATCCCCCAAAATCCCTCCTGGACCCCCAAAATCCCCCCAAAACCGTTCTAAGACCCCCCTCGAAACCCCCCAAAATCCCCTCAAGACCCCCTCAGGACCCCCCAAAAACCCCCCCAGGACCCCCCTAAATCCCCACAGAGCCCCCCCAAAACCCCTCCTGGACCCCCCCAAACCCCCTCAGGACCCCCCTAAATCTCCCCAAACCCACTCAAAACCCCCCCCAAGACCCCCTGGGCCCCCCCAAAAACGCCCCCAAATTCCCCCCCAGAACCCTCAAATTCACCCCCCAAATTCACCCCCCAGGACCCCCCAAATTTAGCCCCCCAAATCCCCCCCAAATTCCCCCCAGGACCCCCAAAATCCCCCCAGGACCCCCCCAACCCCCCCGGTCCCCCCCTTTACACTCCGCCGGGCCCGAATTCTCGGGGTTCTCACCCCAAAATTTTGGGGGCTCCCGCCTCCGATTTTCGCCTTCCCCGGCCTCGATTTCGGGGGGGTCCCGGTGCCGATTTTGGGGTCCCCAGCCCAAATTTCTCCGTCCCGGCTCCGATTTTGGGGATCCCCCCCGAACCCCAAAAATTTTTTTTTTGGGGGGTCCTCGCAGCTTCCGGGGGATTTTTGGGGGGCGATTTTTTGGGGGGGATTTTTGAGGAGATTTTGGGGGGATTTTTTTGGGATTTTGGGGGGTTCCCAGGGGGAATTTTTCGGCTTTTTCGGGGTTCCCGGAGGGGGATTTTGGGGATTTTTTGGGGATTTTTTGGGGATTTTTGGGGGGTCCCCGGGGGGGTCCCCGCCGCCGGTGCCGGTCCCGGGTTCGGCTGCGACGTTGGGGGGGGGGGGGAGGGGAAGGGGGGGATGGGGGGGGGGGGAGGGGGGAAGGGGGAGGGGCCTGAAGGTTCTGCGGTGACGTCAGAGGGGGGCGGGGCCAAGGATTTGAGGGGTTTGAGGGGTCCGAGCCCCGCCCCCCCCCGCTGGGTTCCCATGGTAAACGGGGATGCGGCGCCGTCTCCGCGGCAACGAGGAGGCCACGCCCACTCCCGGGCCAGGCCCACGCCCCCCCGATCGAAGCCACGCCCCCATAGCGCTTCCCCAGGCACTAATTAACGCCCAGAGCGCCCTAATTAACCCCTCCAGGCATTAATTAACCCCTCCAGACCACCCTAATTAACACCCCTGACACTAATTAACCCTCCAGGCACTAATTAACCCCTCCAGGCACTAATTAACCCCCTCCAGACCACCCTAATTAACTCCCCCAGGCACTAATTAACCCCTCCAGACCACCCTAATTAACAGCCCCTGACACTAATTAACCCCCCCCCAGGCACTAATTAACGCCCAGAGCGCTCTAATTAACCCCTCCAGGCACTAATTAACCCCCCCAGGCACTAATTACCCCCCAGGCATTAATTAACTCCCCCAGGCACTAATTAACCCCTCCAGACCACCCTAATTAACAGCCCTGACACTAATTAACCCCCCCCAGGCACTAATTAACCCCCAGACCACTCTAATTAACCCCTCCAGACCACCCTAATTAACACCCCCAGGCACTAATTAACCCCTCCAGGCGCTTAATTAACCCCCCCAGGCACTAATTAACCCCCAGAGCGCCCTAATTAAACACCCCCAGGCACTAATTAACCCCCAGACCACTCTAATTAACCCCCCAGGCACTAATTAACCCCCAGAGCGCCCTAATTATTAACCTCACAGGCACTAATCAACCTCCAGACCACCCTAATTAACCCCTCCAGGCACTAATTAACTCCTCCAGGCATTAATTAACCCCTCCAGACCACCCTAATTAACAGCCCTGACACTAATTAACCCCCAGGCCACTCTAATTAACTCCCCCAGGCACTAATTAAACCCCCCAAGCATTAATTAACCCCCAGACCACTCTAATTAACCTCCCCAGGCGCTAATTAACCTCCCCAGGCGCTAATTAACCCCCCCAGGCACTAATTAACCCCCCCAGGCACTAATTAACACCCTCAGTCTCTAATTAACACCCTCAGTCTCTAATTAAGTCCCCAGACCTCCACTAATTAAGCCCCCAGGCCTAATTAACCCCCCTAAACCCCCCCCAATCAAGCCTCCAGCCTTTAATTAACCCCCAGCTCCTAATTAACCCTCCCGACCACCCTAATTAGCCTAATTAAGACCCACCCCAATCAAGCCCCCAGCTTCTAATTAACCCCCAGCCCCTAATTAACCCCCAGCCCCTAATTAGCCCCCAGCTTCTAATTAACCCCCAGCCCCTAAATTTACCCCCAGGCCACCCTAATTAACCCCCCAGGCACTAATTAAACCCCCCAGGCCACCCTAATTAACCCTTCAGGCACTAATTAACCCCTCCAGGCATTAATTAACCCCTCCAGACCACCCTAATTAACCCCCCCAGGCACTAATTAACACCCCCCAGGCACTAATTAACCCCTCCAGACCACCCTAATTAACTCCCCTGACACTAATTAACCTCCAGACCCCCCTAATTAACCCCCCAGGCACTAATTAACCCCCACACCACCCTAATTAACCCCCTTAAGACCTCCTCTAATTAACCCCCCCCCACACACCAATTAACCCCTCGAACCCCCTCTCATTAAGCCCCCAGGCACTAAATTAACCCCCAATCAAGGCCCTTAATTAAATTCCCAGGGCTCGGGGGAAAATTTTGGGGGTTCCCAGTTTGAAATTTTGGGGTTCCCAGTTTGAATTTTTGGATTCCCAGTTTGAATTTTCTCATTTCCAATTTAATTTTTGGTTTTCCCAGTTTAAATTTTGGGTCTCCCAGTTTGAAATTTTCCATTCCCAGTTTAATTTTCGGGTTCCCAGTTTGAATTTTTTGGGGTTCCCAGTTTAATTTTGGGATCCTAATTTAATTTTGGGGTTCCCAGTTTAATTTTTTCACTCCCAGTTTGAATTTTTCCATTCCCAGTTTGATTTTTTGGGGGTTTCCAGTTTGAATTTTTTCATTCCCAGTTTAATTTTGGATTTCCCAGTTAAATTTTGGGATCCCAATTTAATTTTGGGGGGTTCCCAGTTAAATTGTGGGTTCCAATTTTTTATTTTTTTGGGGTTCCCAGTTTGAATTTTTTCCATTCCCAGTTTAATTTTGGGGTTCCCAGTTTGAATTTTTCCATTCCCAGTTTAATTTTGGGGGTTCCCAGTTTCATTTTTTTCACTCCCAGTTTAATTTTCAAATCCTTTATTGAGGTCACGTGATCCCTTATTTACATATCGTTTACATATCGTACAGCGCCGGGAAGGGGGCGGAGCCTCGGCCCCTCCCCCCTCCCCTTCCCCCCCCAATTTTTTTTTAAATTTTTTTTTTTTTTCTTTTTTTACCCCTCCCCCCCCTTTTCATTAACTAATTAATTGTTATTAATTATTTTTTGGGGGTGGGGGAGGGGTCGCTACATATCGGAGCCGTTTTATTGCCACAGAAAGTCGGGGGGGCGGAGCCTCCCCAAAGCCCCTCCCCCTCCCTCCCCCCCTCCCCTCCCCCACCCCAAAAATGGACCCAGGCCCCTCCCCCACCCCCCCCCAGGTGGGGTCAGAGGTCACGGGGACACCTGGGAAATGTGGGCGGAGCCAAAATGGCGGGAAAAGCCCAGGGGGGGGTCACGTGACCCTCCCCCGAGGGGGGTCTGGGGGTTCTTGAGGGGACAAAATGGCCGCCAAGGGGATCCTTGTCTCTCATTGGCTGATTTGAAATGGACAAGATGGCTGCCAAGACGATCCTTGTCTCTCATTGGCTGATTCTAGATGGACAAAATGGCTGCCAAGACGATCCTTGTCTCTCATTGGCTGATTCTAGATGGACAAGATGGCTGCCAAGATGATCCTTGTCTCTCATTGGCTGATTGTATTTGGACAAGATGGCCGCCAAAGAGATCCCTGTCTCTCATTGGCTGATTCTAGATGGACAAAATGGCCCGCCAAGGTGATCCTTGTTTCTCATTGGCTGATTCTAGATGGACAAAATGGCTGCCAAGGTGATCCTTGTCTCTCATTGGCTGATTCGAAATGGACAAAATGGCCGCCAAGGGGATCCTTGTCTCTCATTGGCTGATTCTAGATGGACAAAATGGCCGCCAAGGGGATCCTTGTCTCTCATTGGCTGATCCTACCAAATCAAGATGGCTGCCGAGGTGATCCTTGTCTCTCATTGGCTGATTCTGCCCGTCCAAAAATGGCCGCCAGGGCAATCCTGGTCCCCCATTGGCTGTTGCCGACAGAACGAAATGGCCGCCGAGCCAAGATGGCGGCCGAGCCCATCCTCGTCCCTCATTGGCTGCTGCTGCCGATCCAAAATGGCCGCCAAGCTCATCCTGGCCTCTGATTGGCTGCTGCTGCCTGGCCGAGATGGCGGCCGAAACAAATGACCGAGATGGCGGCCGATGACGTCATCAAGATGGCGGCCAGGGGCGGGGCCCAGGTGTCCCAAAATGGCTCCAGGTGTGCCCAGGTCCATCCCAAATGGTCCCAGGTGTGCCCAGGTGTGTCCCCAAGACCCCCAGGTGTCCCCAGGTGTGTCCCTGTCCCACCCAGGTGAGCCCAGGTGGTTCCAGGTGTGCCCAGCTGTGCCCAGGTCCATCCCAGGTGTGCCCAGGTCCATCCCAGGTGTGCCCAGGTGTGTCCCCAATCGCCCCAGGTGTGCCCAGGTGTGTCCCAGTCCCCCTCAGGTGTGTCCCCACATTGCCCAGGTGTGCCCAGGTCACTCCAGGTGTGCCCAGGTGTGTCCCCAATCCCCTCAGGTGTATCCCAGGTGTATCCCACGCCCTGTAGGTGCCCACAGATGTGCCCAGGTGTATCCCAGGTGAATCCCACGCCCTGTAGGTGTGTCCCACATTACCCAGCTGTGCCCAGGTGTGCCCAGGTGTGTCCCCAAATCCCTCTGGGTGTGTCCCCAAGCCCTTGTCACGCCCCCAGGTGTATCCCAGGTGTCTCCCACGCCCCCCCAGGTGTATCCCAGGTGTATCCCAGGTATCTCCCACGCCCCCCCAGGTGTATCCCACATTACCCAGCTGTGCCCAGGTGTATCCCAGGTGTATCCCAGGTGTCTCCCACATTACCCAGCTGTGCCCAGGTGTATCCCACAATACCCAGGTGTATCTCAGGTGTCTCCCACACCCCCCAGGTGTATCCCAGGTGTCTCCCACGCCCCCCAGGTGTATCCCACATTACCCAGCTGTGCCCAGGTGTATCCCAGGTGTATCCCAGGTATCTCCCACACCCTGTAGGTGTATCCCACATTACCCAGCTGTGCCCAGGTGTATCCCAGGTGTATCCCAGGTGTCTCCCACGCCCCCCAGGTGTATCCCAGGTGTATCCCAGGTGTATCCCAGGTGTCTCCCACGCCCCCCAGCTGTATCCCACATTACCCAGGTGTATCCCAGGTGTATCCCAGATGTATCCCAGGTGTATCCCACACCCCCCAGGTGTATCCCAGCTGTATCCCACGTTACCCAGGTGTATCCCAGGTATATCCCAGGTGTATCCCAGGTGTATCCCAGGTGTATCCCAGGTGTATCCCATGCCCCCCAGGTGTCTCCCACGCCCCCCCAGCTGTGCCCAGGTGTATCCCACATTACCCAGGTGTATCCCAGGCGTATCCCAGGTGTATCCCAGGTGTCTCCCACGCCCCCCAGCTGTGCCCAGGTGTGCCCTAGCAGGGCGAGGTGGACAGGTGCGGGTGCGGGGGGGGTCTCTGGGGGTACTTGATGGCCGGGGGGGTAGTTCTGGGTCATCTGGATGGACACGTCTGAGGAGGCGTCCGAGGGGCTGCGGGCGCGGGGCCACGCCCGCGGCTGCAGGAACTGCCCCGAGAGCCCCGAGCAGGTGCTGAGGCGGGGCCGGAGCAGGTGGGGCGGGGCCCGGCACAGCTCCTCCTCCGCGTAGCGCTTGGTGAACAGGTACACGGACATGACCCCCGCGCCCTGCGGAGAGAGCACACCTGAGCCGCGGGGACACGCCCGGGGGACACCTGAGGGACACCGGTTACACCTAAACAATCCCTGTCACACCTGAGGGACACCTGAGCCGCGGGGACACGCCCGGGGGACGGGGGGACACGCCCGGGGGACACCTGAGGGACGGGTGACACACCTGAGTGACAGGTGACACGCCTGAGGGACACCTGAGTGACGGGGACACGCCTGAGGGACAGGTGACACAACTGAGGGACAGGTGACACACCTGAGGGACACCTGAGGGACAGGTGACACACCTGAGGGACAGGTGACACACCTGAGGGACAGGTGACACACCTGGGGGACACCTGAGGGACGGGTGACACGCCTGAGTGACACCTGTTACACATTGATTTCTACACGGGGGCGTGGCTTAAACCTCCATTGATTTCTATGTAGAGGGTGTGGCTTAAACCCCATTGAGTTCAATGGACGGGGTGTGGCTCAAACCCCCATTGATTTCTAATGAGTGGGCGTGGCTTAAACCCCCATTTCTTTCTATAGTAGGGCATGGCTTAAACCCCATTGAGTTCTATGGAAGAGGCGTGGTTAAACCCCATTGAGTTCTATGGAGGAGGCGTGGCTTAGTCCCTATTGATTTCTATGGAGGGGCGTGACTTAGTCCCCATTGATTTCTATGGAGGAGGCGTGGCTTAAACCCCCATTTATTTCTATAGTGGGGCGCGGCTTAAACCCCCATTGAGTTCTATAGTGGGGCGTGGCTTAGCCCCCATTGATTTATATGGAGTGGGTGTGGCTTAAATCTCATTGATTTCTATGTAGAGGGTGTGGCTTAACCCCAATTGAGTTCTATGGAAGAGGCGTGGCTTAGTCCCTATTGATTTCTATGTAGAGGGCGTGGCTTACTCGCCATTGATTTTCTATAGTGGGGCGTGGCTTAAACCCCCATTGCGTTCTATGGAGGGGGCGTGGCTTAGTCCCAATTTTCTTTCTATAGTGGGGCGTGGCTTAAACCCCCATTGATTTCTATGTAGAGGGCGTGGCTTAAAACCCCCATTTATTTCTATGGAGGAGGCGTGGCTTAAACCACCATCGATTTCTATGGAGGGGCGTGGCTTAGCCCCCATTGAGGTCTATGGAGGGGGCGTGGCTTAAACCCCATTTATTTCCATAGTGGGGCGCGGCTTAGCCCCCATTGATTTCTATGGAGGAGGCGTGGCTTAGTCCCTATTGATTTCTATGTAGAGGGCGTGGCTTAAACCCCATTGATTTTCTATGGAGGGGGCGTGGCTTAAACCACCATTGATTTCTATTGAGTGGGTGTGGCCCCATTGATCTCTAGGGAGTGGGCGTGGCTTCGCCCTTTTTTTGTCTAAAAATCCCAATTTTTTCACCAAAAAAATTCCCAATTTTTTTCCTTAAACTCCTGGTTTGAGAAAATCTGATTTTCCCCAATTTTTTGGGAGTGCAAAAATTCAGTTTTTTCCTCATAAAAATCACATTTTTCATCATAAAACCACCATTTTTTCACCTAGAAACTCCATTTTTTCACCCTAAAAACTCCATTTTTTTTTCCCCCAAACCCTGAATTTTGGGAATTTTGGGTTTTTTGTGAGGAGAAAGGAGGAGGCGGTGAAGGCGAAGCTCCATCCGTAGCAGTTCTGGAAGTGCTGCTTCCAGCTGGGCCTCAAACCTCCTTTTTTCCCCCAAAAAATCCAATTTTTCCACCCCAAAATCCCAATTTTTTCACCTAAAATTCTTGATATGAGAAAACCTGATTTTTTCCACATTTTTTTGGGTGTAAAAATCCCATTTTTTTCACCTAAAAATGACCTTTTTTTTTTTGAGTGTGTAAAAATTTCATTTTTTTCACATAAAACCTCCATTTTTCCACCCAAAAATCCCATTTTTTTCCCCCTAAAACCCCATTTCTTTGGAAACCTGATTTCCCCCACTCTTTTGGTGGTGGAAAAATCCAATTTTTTCCCATAAAAAACGATTTTTTTCTGTGTGTGTGTTTAAAAATCCCATTTTTTGCCATAAACCCTCCATTTCTTCCCCTAAAAAATTCTATTTTTTCCCCCTAAAAATCCCATTTTTCCACCTAAAAACCCCAATTCAGTAAAACCTGATCCTCCCCATATTTTTGGGCATGCAAAAATTCAAATTTTTCCCGTAAAAATCGCTCTTTTTTTCTGGTGTAAAATTCACATTTTTCCTCGTAAAAACTCCGTTTTTTCACCTAGGAACTCCGTTTTTTCACCCAAAATTCCCGTTTTTTTTCCCCCAAATCCGTGAATTTTTGTTTTTTTTCGGGACTGACCTCTTTGAGGAGGAAGGAGGAGGCGGCGAAGGCGAAGCTCCACCCGTAGCTGGTACTGGAAATATTGCTCGGAAAGCCGCCCGGGCCGGTTCCATGACCTCATCGTTGATGCTGGAGATGTAGAGAACCAACCCCACCACCAGCGACAGGCCTGGGGAGAGGAGAATTCCCGGAAATTCCCCGAATTCCCGGAGATTCCGGAAAATTCCGGGGGGATTTGGGGGAAAAATGGCAAAAAATGGGGGAGAAATGGCAAAAAAAATGGGGTGAAATTAAAAAAAAAAAGGGGGAAAAAATCAGGGAAAAATGGGGAGAAATGAGAGTTTGAGGAGGGGGTTGGGGAAATTTGGGGAAATTCCAGGAAATTCTGGGAAATTTGGGAAAATTTGGGGGGAAATGGGAAAAAATTGAGGGGAAATGGGAATAAAAAAGGGGGGGGAAAATGAAAAACAAAGGGGGGGAAAATCAGAGAAAAATGGGGGAAAATCAGGGGAAAATGGGGGAGAAATGAGAGTTTGAGGAAGGGTTTGGGGGAAATTTGGGGAAATTCTGGAAAATTCTGGCAAATTCCAGAAAATTCCGGGAGATTTGGGGGGATTTGGGGGAAAAAGTGGCAAAAAAAATGGGAGGGAAATGAAAAACAAAGGGGGGGAAAATCAGGGGAAAATGGGGAGAAATGAGAGTTTGAGGAGGGGGTTGGGGGAAATTCCAGAAAATTCGGGGAAATTTGGGAAAATTTGGGGGAAAATGGGGAGAAAAATGGCAAAAAATGGAGGGGAAATGGGAAAAAAAAGGGGGGGGAAATGGCAGAAAAAATGGGGGAAAATCAGGGAAAATGGGGAGAAATGAGAGTTTGAGGAAGGGTTTGGGGGAAATTGGGGAAATTCTGGGAAATTCTGGAAAATTCCAGAAAATTCCAGGAGATTTGGGGGAAAAAATGGCAAAAAAAAAAGGGGGGGAAATGGCAGAAAAAAAAAAATGGGGGGAAAATCAGGGGAAAATGGGGGAGAATTGAGAGTTTGAGGAGGGGGGTTGGGGGAAATTCCAGGAAATTCTGGCAAATTCCAGAAAATTCCGGGAGATTTGGGGGGGATTTTGGGGAAAAGTGGCAAAAAAAAAATGGGGGGGAAATGGCAAAAAATGAAAAACAAAATGGGGGGAAAAAATCAGAGAAAAATGGAGAGAAATGAGAGTTTGAGGAGGGGTTTTGGGGAAAATTTGGGGAAATTCCAGGAAATTCCAGAAAATTCTGGAAATTTGGGAAAATTTGTGAGGAAATGGGGAGAAAAATGGCAAAAAATGGAGGGGAAATGGGAAAAAAAAAGGGGGGGGAAATGGCAGAAAAAATGGGGGAAAATCAGGGGAAAATGGGGAGAAATGAGAGTTTGAGGAAGGGTTTGGGGGAAATTTGGGGAAATTCTGGCAAATTCCAGAAAATTCCGGGAGATTCGGGGGGGATTTTTGGGGAAAAATGGCAAAAAAAAATGGGGGGGAAATGGCAAAAAATGAAAAACAAAGAGGAGGAAATCAGGGAAAAATGGGGAGAAATGAGAGTTTGAGGAGGGGTTTGGGGGAAATTTGGGGAAATTCCGGGAAATTCCAGAAAATTCCAGGAGATTTGGGAAAATTTGGGGGAAATGGGGAGAAAAATGGCAAAAAATGGGGGAGAAATGGCAAAAAATGAAAAAAACAGGGGGAGGAAATCAGGGAAAAATTGGGGAGAAATGAGAGTTTGAGGAGGGGTTTGGGGGAAATTTGGGGAAATTTGGGGAAATTCCTGGGAAATTTGGGAAAATTTGGGGGAAAATGGGGAGAAAAATGGCAAAAAAATGGGGGGAGAAATGGCAAAAAAAATGAGGTGAAATAAAAAAAAAAAGGGGGAAAATCAGGGGAAAGTGGGGAGAAATGAGAGTTTGAGGAGGGAAATGGGGGAAATTCCAGGAAATTCTGGAAAATTCCAGAAAATTCCGGGAGATTTGGGGGGGGATTTGGGGGAAAAGTGGCAAAAAAAAAATGGGGGGGAAATGGCAAAAAATGAAAAACAAAGGGGAGGAAATCAGGGAAAAATGGGGGGGAAAAATCAGGGAAAAATGGGGAGAAATGAGAGTTTGAGGAGGGGTTTGGGGGAATTCCAGAAAATTCGGGGAAATTTGGAAAATTTGGGAAAATTTGGGGGGAAATGGGGAGAAAAAATGGCAAAAATGGAGGGGAAATGGGAAAAAAAAAGGGGGGGGAAATTCTAGAAAAAATGGGGGAAAATCAGGGGAAAATGGGGAGAATTGAGAGTTTTGAGGAGGGGTTTGGGGGAAATTTGGGGAAATTCTGGAAAATTCTGGGAAATTCCAGAAAATTCCAGGAGATTTGGGGGAAAAATGGCAAAAAAAAATGGGGGGGAAATGGCAAAAAAATGAAAAACAAAGGGGAGGAAATCAGGGAAAAATGGGGGGGAAAAATCAGGGGAAAATGGGGAGAAATGAGAGTTTGAGGAGGGGGTTGGGGGAAATTTGGGGAAATTCCAGGAAATTCTGGAAAATTCCGGGAGATTTGGGGGAAAAATGGCAAAAAAAGGGGGGAAATGGCAAAAAAAAAAAAATAGGGGAAAATCAGGGGAAAATGGGGAGAAATGAGAGTTTGAGGAAGGGTTTGGGGAAATTGGGGAAATTCCGGGAAATTCTGGAAAATTCCGGGAGATTTGGGAGGGATTTGGGGGAAAATTGGCAAAAAATGAAGGGGAAATGGCAAAAAAAAATATGGGGGAAAATCAGGGGAAAATGGGGAGAAATGAGAGTTTGAGGAGGGGTTTGGGGGAAATTCCAGAAAATTCGGGGAAATTTGGGAAAATTTGGGGGAAAATGGGGAGAAAAATGGCAAAAAATGGGGGAGAAATGGCAAAAAAAATGGGGTGAAATTAAAAAAAAAAAGGGGGAAAATCAGGGGAAAGTGGGGAGAATTGAGAGTTTGAGGAAGGGTTTGGGGGAAATTGGGGAAATTCCGGAAAATTCTGGGGAATTTGGGAAAATTTAGGGGAAAACGGGGGGAAAAATGGCAAAAAAATGGGGAGAAATGGCAAAAAAAAATGAGGTGAAATTAAAAAAAAAAAGGGGGGAAAATCAGGGGAAAATGGGGAGAATTGAGAGTTTGAGGAAGGGTTTGGGGGAAATTTGGGGAAATTCCAGAAAATTTGGGAAAATTTGTGAGGAAATGGGGGAAAATGGCAAAAAATATGGGGGAAATGGGAAAAAAAAAGGGGGAGAAATGAAAAAATTATTGGGGGGAAATCAGGGAAAAAATGGGGAGAAATGAGAGTTTGAGGAGGGGTTTGGGGGAAATTCCGGGAAATTCCAGAAAATTCTGAGGAATTTGGGAAAATTTGGGGGAAATGGGGGAAAAAATGGCAAAAAATGGGGGAAATTGGTGAGAAATGGGGGAGAAATGGGGCTTTGAGGAGGATTTGGGGTTAAATTTTTGGATAATTCCGGGAATTCCCAGGAAATTCCAGCAAATTCTAGAAAATTCTTGGAAATTTTGGAAGATTTGAGTCAAATTTTGGGGGATTTGGGTCAATTTTGGGGTTCCCATTTTACAGAAGCCAATGAAGATGAACGGGGGTTCCAGGGCTGATTTTGGTGCAGATTTTTGGGGCAAAATCCAAATTTTTGGGGCTTTTCTGATTTTGAAAGATCCTGGGGACACTCTGGGTCCATTTTGGGGTGATTTGGGTCAATTTTGGGTCGATTTGAGCCAATTTTGGGGTGATCTGAGCCAATTTTGGGGCTCCCATTCTGCAGAGCCAATGAAGACCGAACGGGGGTTCCGGGGCTGATTTTTGGTGCAGATTTTTGGGGGAAAATTCAAATTTTTGGGCTTTTCTGATTTTTTGGGAATCCTGGGGACGCTCTGGGTCCATTCTGGGGGGATTTGGGTCAATTTTGGGGCGATTTGAGCCAATTTTGGGGTGATTTGAGCCAATTTTGGGGCGATTTGGTGCCAATTTTGGGGCTCCCATTCTACAGAAGCCAATGAAAACCAAACGGGGGTTCTGGGGCTGATTTTGGTGCAGATTTTTGGGGCAAAATCCGAATTTTTTGGGGTTTTCTGATTTTTTGGGAATCCTGGGGACACTCTGGATCCATTTTGGGGGGATTTGGGTCAATTTTGGGGGTGATTTTGAGCCAATTTTGGGGCTCCCATTCTGCAGAAGCCAATGAAAACCAATGGATGGAATCGGGGGTTCCGGGGCTGATTTTGGCGCAGATTTTTGGGGCAAAATCCAAATTTTTTGGGATTTTCTGATTTTTTGGGAATCCTAGGAATGCTCTGGGTCAATTTTGGGGGAATTTGGTTCGATTTTGGGGTGATTTGAGCCAATTTTGGGGCTCCCATTCTACAGAAGCCAATGAAGACCGAACGGGGGTTCCGGGCTGATTTTGGTGCAGATTTTTGGGGCAAAATCCAAATTTTTTGAAGGGTTTTCTGATTTTGAAAGATCCTGGGGATGCTCTGGATCCATTTTGGGGGGATTTGGGTCAATTTTGGGGTGATTTGAGCCAATTTTGGGGCGATTTGAGCCAATTTTGGGGCTCCCATTCTGCAGAAGCCAATGAAAACCAAACGGGGGTTCTGGGGCTGATTTTGGTGCAGATTTTTGGGGCAAAATCCAAATTTTTGGGGCTTTTCCTGATTTTGAAAGATCCTGGGGACACTCTGGGTCCATTTTGGGGGGATTTGGGTCAATTTTGGGGTGATTTGAGCCAATTTTGGGGCTCCCATTCTACAGAAGCCAATGCAGACCAAACA